AAAAAATAAAGTGTATGAATAGATTATTCACAAAAAACCCCCACAAAATGTCAATAATCATTTGAAAAATGTTAGCTTCACTGGTAACCTAAGAAATGTAAGTTAAAACAATGAGAGAAAATTTGTGCTTACTCATCAGAAAAGTATTTTTTTTAGTGTTGTCACCTAGAGTAGACGGGGTCAAGGAAACATGTTCAAAGATGCTTCCCGAAGCCTGATGTAGCAATATTTAACAACTTTGATAAAATGTTTACATTTTGACTTAATTTCACTTGTAGGATTTATTCCATGTCAATAATTTTTTAATTCAATTAGCCAACATATAGAGCATCATTAGTTTTTGATGTAATGTTAAACGATCTATTAGTTGCATATAACACCCAGTGCTCATTACAACATGTGCCCTCCTTAATACCCATCACCCAGATACCCCATCCCCCCACCCCCCTCCTTTCTGTAATCCTCAGTTTGGTTCCCGGAGTCCAGAGTCTCTCATGGTTTGTCTCCCTCTCCGATTTCTTCCCATTCAGTTTTCCCTCCCTTCCCCTATGGTCCTCCATGCTATTCTTTATGTTCCACATATGAGTGAAGCCATATGATAATTGACTTTCTCTGCTTGACTTACTTCACTTAGCATAATCTCTTGCAGTCTGATCCATGTTGATGCAAATGGTAGGTTTTCATCCTTTCTGATGGCTGAGTCATCTTCGATTGTATATATGGACCACGTCTTCTTTATCCATTCGTCGGTTGAAGGGCATCTCCGCTCCTTCTATGGTTTGGCTATTGTCCACGTTAACAATTAACATGTAAAATATGCCTCTGAAGTCAGACATTTTTGTGTTGTTTAAGTTAGGAAAACACGTAGAAAAACTCTGAATCTCTAGTACCAGTAATTGCTTAAGGAAATTGAACTTATGCGGTTTGGCTACTATGTAGTCATTGAAAATGATGCCATATATTGAAATATGACTGATAAAAGGAATTGAAAAAATTATTAGAAATTGACTTTCAGGGAAAATGTAGGGGAAGCACGTGGACATTTGATAATTTCCTTCTGTTCCAAATACACCGTAGATTATGTAAGAAGAGCAAAGCAGACGTGGGCAGTCTGGAGCCCCCACTGCCAAGGTTCAGGACCAAGCAAACTACTCAAGTGGTGGGCGGGGCTCAGGCCCAGGAGGACACGCCCAGGCTCCCAGGGATGGATTAAGTCCACAGGAGACCTCGGCCAGACCCAGCTGGGAGAGAAAACAGCCAAACCGGCTTAACAGGGTCTGCCTGTTGCCTGGGCTGTCCTCACGCAGGGGCGCAGGTGGGGACGGCTAAGTCACGCTCTGTGCCTGGGGAGCCCCGAATGCCATCACCGGGGCATTTCGGAACCAGGTCTGGAGGCTGGAGAAGGCACGCAGGGCGCGAGGCTGAGGACCCAGAAAGGAAACTAAAAACTGAGGTAAGCCAAGCCCAGAACAAGAAGGCACCACCGTGGGCAGTGTCGACGGTTGGAGCATGAAGGTTCTCGGGTCTTGCGCCCCTGCGCCCAGGGCTCGCTTGAGGCACTAGGAGGCGCCAGGAAGGGGGACATGAAGCCCGGAGGAAACCACTGGGCAGGACGTAACCGCGGCCCGGACGCAGCCGGGCATTGCCACAGCGCGGAACCGGCAGACGCAGCAGCAGCAGGGCAGAGCGCCGGGCGGGTCTGCGTCTCCATTTGGCCAGCGAGCTCTCCGGGAGCCGCTCCTCCGGCTCCGTCCCCGCGCTGCGTGCACGGGGCTGCCGGCCTGGGGCCTGGCCTGTGGGAAGCGTCGGAGCTCTCCAGGGATGCTCTCAAGGGAAGAGCGCTAGTCCGCCCGAGAACTACGCAGGACACGTGAAGTCCAACCCAGGCGGGTCACGATGGAACCCCGAGCACCGGGGACACGCGGGGCTAGACGCTGGCCGGCCAGGCAGCCGCACAGGGAGCGGCTGCGCGATCAACAGGCCCCGGCGGTGCTGACGAGGACAAGGAAGAGCTCCTGCGTCCCGACCCGAGCATCGTGGAGCATCGTGGAGCATCGTGGAGCATCGTGCTGCCCACCGCTGTGCAGCGCATGCCAGGGTTTGCTGAGGTCTGCTACGATCGTTTGTCCTGGGGCCGCTGGGCGGCTCAGTCGGTTGCACGTCCAACTCCTGGTTTTGGCTCAAGTCATGATCTCAGGGTCGTGAGATCGAGCTCCACATCAGGCATGGAACCTGCCTGGGATCCTAATAAATAAATCAATCTTAAAAAATAAAAGACCATTTGTCCTGTCTTGAGGATTAATAAGGCTTGTCACTGCTTCCCATGTTTTCAATACATAGTGATGCCCGAGACACTGAAAGCGTGTTCTCTAAAACGTGGTCAAAGAAGGATGTTCCGGACAGGAAGTACTTTCTCAAAGGACAGAACAGCTGCAGGGGCCAGCAGGTGGCTGGGATCACCAAAGCTCCTTGTCTGTGGTTAAGTCATTTCCACTGAAATTCCTTATTCTAAATCCCTACTCAATAAATACTCCAAATTAAATTTTGTTAACTTTGAATTTTTTTATAAAGGGTGAGAACATATCACCATGTCCTTGCCACTCTGTCAATAAATTAACGCAGGTTTATATGTTGCTTTCTTACTTGACCCATATGTCTGTGCCTGCGCTGATTTCCTGACAAAACTGAATTTCTGGGTTTGTGAAACTCAACAGCAAGTGCAGGATGAAGCGGCCCCACCAGTGGAGCCAACATTCTGGGAGCTCCTGCGTTGTGTACACAAAAGTCAAGGCAAATGTACAATTTTGGGCAAAAATGAGAATATATATTTTATTTCACAGCAATCAAGAAATTGAAGGTGTCACAGATTTGGACTACTACAGTGTTATTTTTATCGTAAATCTTTCTCTTACCTTTCTGTAAATAGTTAAACATCTGTTTCACTTGAACAGCAGGGGAGACACCCTCTGGACCTTTCCCTGCACACCCCCACCCTCCTCAACGTGGATCCAGTCACCATGCTTCACGCTGCTCAACTCTTTGCTGACCAGTTTGGTTCGAAATCTTCTTTAGCGTGAAAGACACTTGTTCACACTGCAATTCAAGCCACTGAATATGAACTTACAAGACGGGTAAAAAATAAGCTGTTTTTGTGTGTGTGAAAACAAAGTACAACTGCCCCCCTCAAAATTATACACATGCAAGTGGAAGACAAAAAGGCCCTGTCACATTTCCAGAGTATAGGCCAAGTGAAGGATGCTATTACACTAGGAAATTCAGACGGCTCTGTACTGTGACCGTACAAATAATGACGGATGCTGCAAAAGTTAACATGGCCTCCTTACGTCCACCGCGGACCCTCCCGCCACAGGCCAGGGCAACAAGCTCATCCTGCACCTGCCCTCTGCCTCGCATGTGCTCACGTGTTCCTCCCCTGGGCCTGGGGCCATGACGTGGGAGCTCTTCAGGAGCCACGGCACCAGTCCACACCTGACAGGGGGGCTTCCACACACAGGCTGCAGGCACAACGGATTGAAGATCGGACAAAACACAGAATGCTACTTTGAAGTCATTTCTTATGATCAATAGAGAAGATAACGTATCAAGAAGGAACTGGAAAACACATCAGGGTAAAAACACTGGACCTATCCAGAAGATTCTATCAACTCACTTGTAAAACTGTCAGAATTCAGGAAATCATTTCTCTACTAAAAGTCCACGATTGTCCATGGAAACATTATATATCTGTATTTCAAGACTGAATTTCAGAATCTTTCGAAGTGTCACCTCTTAAGTTGCTAAATGTAAATGCTTTCATAAGGACTTTTTTTTTTGGAATTTGAAGAATATGTTTCACTTGGAAATAACAATCTTAAAATTTAGACAACTCCTCACAAACTATTTTTTTTCAAGCCTACATCGAGAGCCAGCAGCATTCCCTTTATTGAACACTGCACTTTTAAACACCTGGGTCTCTACTCACCTGTGGTCCTCCAGCTAGGTCCACACTGGACAGAACCAGGAGCATGGGACAGCAGCCTGGAAAGTGGACACTACAAAGTGAGAGCAGACCTGTTCTAACAAAATTCATAGCATGTTCCTGAGCACCATATTTTTAAAAAAGTGAAATTTAGGAAGGAATATAATCTTGCTACTTGTTATAAAAATCTATTAGTTGCAACTATTTCTATTTGTAATCTAACATCCTGAAAAACTCGCTCAACGGGCTCACTCACGTACTTTCCATGGAATCCGGACTTCAAGTCCTTCGTACCATAACACTTGTAACTACTGTGAGAACCCAAAGGAGCCGCAAGCTTCCTCTGTCTGAGGGCCGATTGGGTGGTGTTCCTCCTGGGACTTGGCTTCCTGCACTCAGAAGTGCGTGTCTTCTCAGGACCTTGCTCCTGGGGTCTCATGTAAGGCGGCTCTGGCACAGGCCTTCTCAACCTCGGCACTGCTAAGGTTCTGGGTCACATCGTCCCTAGCGCAGGTGCTGCCCTAGTCACCGCAGGAAGCCCAGCAGCATCCCTGGGCTGCAGCGCTCCAGGGGCAACCCAGAATGTCACTGACTTGGCCACATGCCACATGGAGGGCCACCGGTGGCCACGGCCCTGAAAGAGTGTGCAGGGGGTGATGGTACCTACGCATGGACAGCATTGTTTATCACTTGGTTCCAAGTTTTCACATTGCTTGAACGCTTTCTAATTACCAGTAACCACACAGACGACACGAACAACTCAGCAAATTAGGGAGAACTCTGCACAGACACCACCGATTTATACACTTTCACCAGGAAGACACTAAACATCCTACACAGATCCAGGTTGAACAAACATTCACACGGACAGTAGCATTTATTTTGAAGAGCAATTGTAAGGTGTGCTCTATGGCGCGAATCCTCCGTACAGACATGAGTGGGCGCTAACAAGGAAGCCCACAAACAACGACGCGGAGGAAACCCGAATTCCACCAAGAAAACCACCACAACCATTCCGGCATCACTCTTCCTTTCTTTTCCTTTCTCTTCTCTTCTCCTGTAGGGTTTTCAGGTCAGCCATCACATCCAAAGTCTTTCGGACCCACATAATCTGAAAACAACCATTGTGAGACGTGTTTAGCAGTGGGAAGCACACACAGAAAGAGAACTAGAACCCAGAGGCTGTAACACACATACCACAATGATCATGGCGTTGAGCAGCAGTGGTGCCGAGAACACTATGGAAATGAACATCCCCCGTGAATCGAAATACTGGTATTTTGAAAATAACCTGTTTTAGGAAAAAATTAAAAATTACTTGGCATAACAAAACAATGTTGTTAGTGCTATTCTCTAACATGAGGCTTCTGGACAGCTCTTAGGTCAACGAAGGCATCTCCACCTGCCCCACGACCGAACCCACCCGCGGCTCGTTCAGCAGCCTGCCCACACCGCCCTCGTCAGGAGCGCATAGTCAGTCCCACATCGAAGAAGGCCGGGACCCAGGGCCCAGGGCAGATGGCGGTGGGAGTAACAGCAATCAACCCGAGGATGTTCTGGGCCGAAGGAAACACTTGCGCACTCTGGTTAACAGCGATTGGACACCCACTGGAACGTGCTCCAACAGTAACAGCTCCCGGGCTTCTATGGGCCATCAGGTCCCGAGCTAGTCTGAGACAGGTACAGAGCCGGCACTCCGCCTGGGTGAACTCTCACCCACCCGCTGCTCTCACACAAGGGGAGGCTCAGGAACACTGGGTCATTCAAGCTGCCCGAAGGCAGGGCCAGTAAATGGCAGAGGCTGGCCGACCCAGGCGTCCCTCTGCGGCCAGCACTGGAACGTGCAGATCCAGCACTGATGAAGTACCCCACAATTCATCAGCTCAGTGACCCGGAGCCAATGGTCAGCCCTGGAGTCGTGGCTGTGAACTGGCAAGACAAGCCATGCTTAGAGCTTATGCTACGGGGGAAGGGGTTCAGATCATTAAGTCAAAACACACGTCATGACTGATGTTCTGGAGAGAAACGAAGCAGGAGGGTGCAGATTTGGGCGTGGACTGAAGGAAGGCTCCTGACGCTCCGTGTGTGTGAAGCTGGGAGCAGCAGCTGAGACTGAGCTGTGGCCACGCTGAGGCCGCTCGCTGCCTGGTCGAGGACACGGAGGAGCTGGGACCTGGGGAAGCAGGGCCGAGCTCAGGAGGTGGCGCTGTCACCCGTGTGAGGGCAGGCACCAGCAGCGGTAGACAGAGCCACACTCATGGTGTGTTTCAAAGGCCAAGGACCTCCTGGGGAATCTCTGCGTGATGAGTGAGGTCTCCGGCCTAAGTCATCAGGAGGAGAAGCTGCCAATGCCAAGACGGGGCAGAGTGCCTTGGGGACAGCTCTGGAAGGGGGCCAGGGGAGAGGTACTGTCCTGGTGCTTGGACGGCCCGGTGGCGAGGCACAGGGAGGAAACCACAAAGAGCTGGACGAGGAAGCTGGTGGCACGGTGTCCTGGAAACCAGGGAGCTGGTGGTTTCAGTGGGGAGAGAGTCGAGGACAAGTAACCCACAGACGGAGACTAACTGTTGGCCGGGCCCCATGCAGACCACGTTGTCACGGACAAGAGCGTTCTTGCTCCGAGGTGGGGTGCAGGCCCCAGGGACAGGACCCCCGTTCAAGACTCCTCGTGAAGGATCCTGATGGAGAGAGGCCACAGGGCCCTTCCCACGATGAGAAGTGGGCGCCTTGTCAGTGTGCCCAGCTGAGGAGGCAGGTTCAGAAGGGAACAGCCAGGACGCAGGGGAGGAGGCGTCGGGGCCACAGCCGTACCCCGGAAGCGCAGAACAGCGTGGCGGACAGGCAGAGCGAGGCAGGGCTCGTGCAGTCTGGCTTCTTCCGTGTCCTCAGTACCTAGCCGAGCAGGGAGGCCCGGGGGATGGAGCTCGAGCAGGTGTTGCCAGCCGGGGCGGGCCTGCACACCATCTCACGAAGCATTCAGCAGCCTCCTGGACACGGCCAGATATTTAGGCTCCAAGGGCAATGTCTTCAACTCCTTCCTGCTCAGAGACTAGAAGTTTTTCTTTTTTCTTTACATTTAAGAGCAATAAACATTTCAGCGCTTAGAAATATCAAAACCATTTCAAGCTCACAGGCCATATAAAAACAGTTAGTGGGCCAGATACTGGCTGTGGAGCATTGTTTGAAACCCGTGTCCAGACACACGTGCAAGGGTCCCAGCTGATGCACAAGGCTGAGGATCACAGACAAAGCCCTGTCAGTGGGCACAGCATGTCCAGCGCACGTGTGGATGTGGGTGCAGAGCTGTAGCCAGGGGCAGGGCCTGACACTCGAGCAGGACGAAGTGAGAGCTGGAAACGGGGGCAGAGGACAAGCAGAGGGCAGGGATGCTGGAGACGGTGGTGATGGTACTCCAGGGCTGCCTGACCGAGCAAGGCCACAGGCATGGGGGTGAAGCTGCTATCGAAGGGCGGCCCGGGGTTTCTGCGAGGACGATGCTCCGAGGCCTCAAGAGGACTCGGCAGCTCCACGGAGGGCCGAGGTCTCACAGCACACCACCCGCCGCCCTGATCACACGTGGACCGTGTTCTCTCTAAAATGCCACTTTCTTTACTCTGCAGCTAGAGCTACTTTACAGAGGCCCCCTGAACTCTCTCACGCTGTCATGAACTGTGTTAACTGATCTTCAAACCCTAAGAGAGCCGACAAGCCGTTCCTCAAACCTAAAGCTATCAGTGCAGAGGCCCCAGGTCTCCAGCAACCGGTCTTCTCTCGCTTCCCTGACTCCCACGGTCTGCGTGCAATGCTCCCGTTGGACAAACCGCTCTGGAGTGTGGTTCCTAACTACGGTCAAAACGAGCAGCGCGCTGGCCTACCTCCAGTTCATTGCTGCTACTTCGTTGATATATTCAGCACAATACACTAAAATTACTGGAAAAGAGAGAAAAGAGAGAAACGTGTCAGGATTTGGATGACTGATTATTCATCATTACAGAATTATACATACTCTTTTTGCAATGATATGTTTAACATAAATATCACAGAATAGCAAAAATTTGATGAGAAATGTAACTTCTATTTTAGGTAAAGTGTGAGGTCAAAATTGGAGAGTTTTAAAATTACAGAACACATTCCTTTAACGGAAAAAAAAAAATGAGGAAGGTCAAGACACATGAAAGCCTCGATGGTCTCAGTCAAACAGTGCAAAGCTGCGGAGCATCCAGGTCTGGTGTCTGAAGACCCAGTGCCCACACGCATACTACTCTGCCCGAGCTCCTACCTGACCCAGTCACGGTTCCCTTGTTGGAGACGCCACACAGAACACGGCTGGAGCTGTGAGACCGGGTGCTTGAAGCGACCTGCTTTCCTCCCTCACGCTTCCACCCACCAGGGACACTCGTGACACCCGCCCAGCGGTACTGGCGGCCACAGTCCTCCTGGAGCCCAGAGTCAGAAGCAGGCAGCTGTTCCAACCCTGACCTAGAGCCTGCTTAGTACTGCGTGCTGCATACACTGACCTGCAGGACAACTGGACACAGCGGAAAACAACAAAGTGCTGCCGTGAAAGCCCGATGCTTTCATTTCTCGGGGAAGTTAAAATGTGTGAACCTTCCTGTCCTTGACCCAAATCACAAAACAGATTACACCGGGCTTTGCAATCTCTTCACTCCTTCCTCCATGAAGGGCCCAAGGAGGCACATCAACAAAGCCAAAGAAGAGAGACAGAGAAGAGAGGAAAAGACAGGCTGAGACACAGAAGGCATGGAGCAGGACAGCAGCACCATCTCTGCCAGGTGCTCCTCCCCAGTTGACAGCGTCATGAGTCTTGGCTGAGCCACCCTGGGGGCTGAGTGACCTGGGGGTTAGGGAACCTCTCCCTGTTTCATCCATAAAAATGATGGCAATGATGCTGCACTGAACAAAATCAATCGTGCTGGCGTGAGAGTTACATGAATCAGAGAATATGTGCACACATGTAGAACATCACCTACTTACTGTCCCCAAGTGTGAAAAGTCAGCCCTCTCTTCACCCTCGAAAATAACAAACCCACAGAGTTAAGTTTACAAGCTGTTTCTAACCTGTCAGCTCATCTGATCAGGCCGTTGCCTTCCTCCGAGCACACACCATGCTCGCTGCACGGATCGCTCACCCTGGCCCCCACCCTACACACATGCTGCGTGGCTCACGCCCGCATGCCCTGCACACCCCGGTTTAAGTGTTCCTGCACAACTTGAGCAGGGCCCCTACACAGTGCTTCCGGCTGCTCTTCTTTTTGCTGCCTTGCACTTACCACAGTTGAGAGCAACACAACTAGGTCTGAAATGACTTCATGAACGCTGGTGTTGCCCAACTAAACTCTTAGAGGCTATAGGGAGGTGTACACCTGACGTTTCTTAGTACAAGCCTGACCACAGCCCTCGGGGCAGGAAGGAAGGGGCGACTCTCCCCACCACTTGCTGTACGGGAATACCTGTGCAACACAAACTCACTGCCTCACTCCTTCCTAAGACAACCTCTCACTGAGATGCCGCCTGGCACCTGGCCATCTCACACAGCAACTGAAGTCAGAACGTTTGTTTATTCTACTCACCTAAGCACAGGAAATGTCCGACCTGTAGTTTATACCTCTGGGATGAGAGACATGTGAGCAGCAGGCACAGAATGTGGAAGACAGCCAGCCCTATGAGCCACGGCTCGGTCCAGTCTGTCTGCTGTAAGACACACCGCTTGAAACTCATCATCTCACGGTCGTCAACTCAAATGGAGGCCAGGCTTCACGACTCCTGGGTCAGGGAGGGCAGTGGTCCCTCACTCCTGAGCATCCAGAGCCTTTCCCCAAGGCCTCACAGGAACAGGTGTTAGAGAAGGAAAGGGGAGGAGGGAAACAGGAACCCTCTACACTGCAATAGCGGTCCAGGGATTTTAAAGAGAAACATCACTAGTTTGATGTTTGTGCACACGGAACTGACTGCACCATGGACTTGCCCCTTCCGTTTACTGAACAGAATTGTGTTTTTAAGGTTTCTAAGGATCAGCATCCCATGACTCAGGAGGAAGTTAAGTGTCTCGTTCAGGGGATGCACTTCGTTACTCCAAGACTTAACACACTTTAGACTAATACTTAAGGCCTTGGGAAATCGGAGGCATCCCAATTTGCCAGATTTTATTTTCCCCAACCTTTCTAGCAACCTTCCAAATAGTACCAAGATGTTGTGTCTCCTGCACTTTACGGTGGGCATGTCTGCACCCCCAGATGCTCAGATCCCCCTAGAGATGCTCAAACCCGCCCCCAGATGCTCATATTCCCCCTCTTCAGATGCTCGGATTCCCATCCCCATAGGCTCGGATTCCACCCCCAGCCAGATGCTCAAATCTCCCCACAAAAATGCTCAGATTCCCCCCAGAATGCTCAGGTTCCCTCCACAAGCTCAGATTCCCGATGCAAACTCACACCCAAGCCCTGCCTTTCACTTCTCTCCAGCAGAGGAGGCGGGACCTGCCGCGGGGTCCCGCAGAGCCCTCTGGACTCTCTGTCCCCTGCCGCTCCTGCACGCCTCGGCACGGTAAACTGCCCACGACTACCTGTCCCCAACAACGTGCAGCGGGGACAAGAGAGAAAGGCGGAGGAGAGGACGCGGACAGCGCGAGGGCAGCACCAGGAGCTCACACGGCCCCACACCCCACCAACTCCAGCCGCGGTCAGGCCACACCGCCCAGACCCGCCCCAGCATCCCGACAAGCCCTGCCCAGGAGCGTCCCGCCCACCCCCGAGCCCCGCCCACCCCCGAGCCCCGCCCCCACGCCCCATCCGGGGTAGTCGGTGTCGATAGCGGATGCGGGCAAACCCTGAGTGGCCCCAACTACCGTCGCCCGAACTGGAGGTCAAGAAGGCAGCAAGTTACCGTGATCACGGCAGGAATGCTGACAGGGAATGAGCTGACTGAGAAGGCGGACGGCATCGTCCCCGGAAAGACCCACCCTCACCACCACCGTCTTGCCATCCCCGCCCCAGTTGAATAACACAGGGAACGCCTCCGGCGTCCCCTCTCGCGGGATTTCCACTCGTCGCGAAACCCGCTTAGTCCCAGACATCTCGCGATATCTCCCTGTGGGCCCGGGATCAGGTCCACATCTCGTGGTATTGTAAAAAATACGTCTAATAATGAAACTGAAAGTAGGTTTCGGATTGTTTTACCACCCCGGCCGGGGTAGGAGGGAGGATGAGAGTGTCTATAGTTCTACCCCTACCCGGGTGGCGCTCTGGACAACCAGGAGCGGTTGGGCGTCCCTGCCTGCTTCCGACGCCAACCCCGGATGACCGAGGGGGACAGGGGGCCCGAGGGGGACAAGTGACCGCGCTCTCGGGGGACGGAGGGGGACAAGTGACCGCGCTCTCGGGGGACGGAGGGGGACAAGTGACCGCGCTCTCGGGGGACGGAGGGGGACAAGTGACCGCGCTCTCGGGGGACGGAGGGCGCAGTGACCGCGCTCTCGGGGGACGGAGGGGGACAAGTGACCGCGCTCTCGGGGGACGGAGGGCGCAGTGACCGCGCTCTCGGGGGACGGAGGGCGCAGTGACCGCGCTCTCGGGGGACGGAGGGGGCAGTGACCGCGCTCTCGGGGGACGGAGGGGGCAGTGACCGCGCTCTCGGGGGACGGAGGGGGACAAGTGACCGCGCTCTCGGGGGACGGAGGGCGCAGTGACCGCGCTCTCGGGGGACGGAGGGCGCAGTGACCGCGCTCTCGGGGGACGGAGGGGGCAGTGACCGCGCTCTCGGGGGACGGAGGGGGCAGTGACCGCGCTCTCGGGGGACGGAGGGGGCAGTGACCGCGCTCTCGGGGGCCCGAGGGGGACAAGTGACCGCGCTCTCGGGGGACGGAGGGCGCAGTGATCGCGCTCTCGGGGGACGGAGGGCGCAGTGACCGCGCTCCCAGACTCCGAGGGAGTAGGGGGAGAGAGTGTCCGCCCTCCGAGGGCCACACTGGGTCTGGGAGGGACCCACTGTTTCTGGCAAATAACCTGTGGGTGCACGCCCATCACCTGGGGTAATACGTAAATGCGGTCTGAGAACACCGGGGGCGGGGCCTGAAGTTCTGTCGAACAGGCGCGGGGGTGAGGGTCCTGCCGGTGGGGCAGCTCGGTCGAGACTAGGGTCTCAGGATGCTCTGCCTACCCTCAGCTTGGAGGTGCTTTCAGATCGCTGCTAGTCACTCGGTGTCCAGAAGCCTGTGCCTCAGGAAATGGCTCGGAACACGAAAATCAGCGCAGGGTATGCCCTACCAGGGGCAGGTGACAAAGGGTGTGTGTGCGGCCACCTGTGGGCTGCCACGGGAGGCCGACAGGTTCCCGCAGGGCCCGACAGCCGCGTGCAGAGACAGCGCCCGCCGTCTGGGTGGAGTGGAGGCAGGACGCGCGCTGAGGAGGGAACCCCGCCTCCGGCGCACTTGGCGCTGAGCAAACCTGAGCAGAAAGGACGGAAGGAATGGCTTCTCGGCAGGTGGCATTCCTGAACTGCGGGATCAAACAAAAGTTCAGCCCTGCGGGGCTGCCCCAGGGTCCGAAACGGCGTCGGGTGATGGGGTGGGTCCCGCGGATTCCTGGCTTCAAGGTGCCTCGGGTCTGCATCTTCAGGGACCACCGCGCGGCCCCCTCCGCTCCCTGCCCCACGCCTTCTGCCCCGCCTGGGGACCTCGGAAAACACCTGCTAGGCCAAGTCCCGCCCTGCTTTGAACACTTCCTGATTATGCTTCTGGCGTCTCTTCCCCGCTCCCTACCTACCCCCCAACTCTGTGCCCCTGTGATCCTTTTTGTCTCATTGCACGTTTCAGACAGTTTAATCTTTGCCCATGGTCAGGCGCATAGAGCCTTCCCTGCACCGAGTCAAAATCCAATGCGCAACCTGATCCTGGAGGTGGGATCCGTAATAGTGTGTTTAACACAGAGCTGCTGTTCCTGATCTGGGGCTACATCTCCCCAGGAGGTGACCTTGCCCCCCAGCGGCCCCCGACCGCCAAGGGCTGCTGCGGGGCGGGGCTGAGTTGGCCGCGGTGTGAACCGGGTCCAATCGAGTTTTAATTAGGCGCCAGCAGGTGGCAGCACCCCGCCTTGTCTCAGGTCCTGCTTGTGGAGCCTTAGCACCTTTTTCAATGTTTGCAACAAAATGAATTTTCGAGTATTCTGTTGTTGAATTGAGAGATTTTAATCTACACCATTTAATTTTAGATGGAGAAATAATTTTTTCTGAGCATCATGGGATAGTCAAATCTGTTATTTTTGACTCATAGATTGCTGTTGCAAAATTGCAGTCATTTGGAAAATGTGCTTGTGAAAACTCCATAATTATGGATAATAAAAGTTTTATAGATTAAATCAACAAATTTAGTATCTTATCTTCATTTTATATTTTCTATTTAAAAAGAAAGTATTTATTTGAGAGAGCATGAGTAGGGGGACGAGCAGAGAGAGAGAATCTCAAGCAGACCCCCAGCTGAGTGGGGGAGCCCAGTGATGCAACCAGATCTCAGGACCCTGAGATCAGGACCTGAGCCGAAACCAAGACTCCAATGCTCAACCAACTGACCACCAAGTGCCCCTTCACTTTATATTTTCTGTAACCCATGAATGTGTCCCTACCTCAGTGCTCACAGAAGTGGTGACTACGTGGGTTACACATGGCATCGTGCTACTTGAGGTGGTTTGTTTCTGTCTTTCTCTCTGACTGAGCCTCTCCAGGGCATTAACCCATGTTACGTGTCTGCCTATTCTACATTCTCAGCACATGGAGGACATAAAATACACATCGAGTGTATAATACTAGAACACAATGACTACACAAAAATTTCTAGACTCTGGGCAGGAAGGAGTTGAAGACATTGCCCACGGAGCCTAAATACCTCCTACAACAGTAGGAGTCTCTTCCCTTTTGGCTGTGGGGCTAGAAGTCCAAAATCAAGGTGCCACAGGGCCACGCTCCCTCTCCAGGCTCTGGCAGGGTCCTTCCTGCCCTCCTACAGCATCTGGTGCAGGACACCCATGGGGGTCCTTGGATCTCGGCGGCATCAGGCCAGTCTCTGGCCTGCAGTCCTGCCCCTCCTTAGTCGACCTCTTCTGCTCGGGGCACAGTCATTGGGCTAAGGCCCACCCACTCTAGGATGACTTCATCCCCCCTGTTTCCAGGGGGTCACATTCGCAGGAGCGGGGGTCAGGGCTTATCCTTTGGCGAACACCATCAATGCACGATGGTGGTGCAAGGGGAGACAGCGCTGTAACTAAGGGCATTTGCTCAGGAGTGTGGCATCACCTTAGGAGAGTGGGAAGGGGTTCTGAGCATGATGGTCGGGAAAGAGAGAGGCCTCAGTAGGGTCTCGACTATGTGGGTGTCAGTTGTCACTCAGGGAGGAGACACCATGTGCAGGCATATGTCCTCCCTAAGATACAACACCTGTGTAATCACAAAACTACCTTCTTTCTGGGACCCTCTGCTAAGTCACTTCAGTCTCCTGTCAGGCCACGGCCCCAGGGCCACTGCCGTGGCTGGCCCCTGCGGTGACACCCCGTCTCCATGTGCATTCCTTGCCCAGAGCCCATGAGTGTCTACACGATCCTTGCCAATACAGTGCAAAGCACTGGATTCTGCAACCATGAGTTTGCTCAGGATAATTGCTCCAAACATTCTTAATGGTTTATTTCCTAAGTGTTGTGGCTGTTTGCAGTAATAATACAGCTTTGTTTAAGTGGGGTAATACCCCATCACAACTTTGGTTCCAACTGTCCATTTGCATTCTGCTATATAATTATGTTTTTATGCATATCGTTTTTTAACTGCAGAAACCTTTGAGAATATTCCAAGCAGTTTGGATACTCGGATATGGCAGCATGCGACTCACTGGTAACAGCTGCTCGCTCAAAACTGGTTGAGTGCAGGGCGTGGACCGCACGCTCCTCCTTTAGCACCAGTGTGCCTGGGGATGCTTTGCTTTTAACGTTAAAAAGGTAGGATTTAAAATACGTATGTAGTATATAATACTAGAACACAATGACGTTGAAAGAAACAAAAGCCTATGTGACCCACTATCATGTAATTAACACAAATACAAGGACGGTGATTTTCCTTTGCCAATAGATATTTTTAGGTGGACTTTTATTTATTTATTTATTTATTTATTTATTTATTTATTTATTTTAATTTAAATTCCATTAGCCAACATATAGTACATCATTAGTTTCAGATGCAGTGTTCAATGATTCATCTGTTGTACATAACACCCGGTGCTCATTACATCACATGACTTTCTTATTGCCTATCACCCAGTTACCCCATCCCCCACCCCCTCCCCTCTAGCAACCCTTAGTTTGTTTCCCAGAGTCAAGAGTCCCTCGTGGTTTGTCTCCCTCTCTGATTTCTTCCCATCTAGTTTTCCCTCCCTGTCCCTATGGTCCTCCATGCTATTCCTTATGTTCCACATATGAGTGAAACCATATGATAATTGTCTTTCTCTGCTTGACTTATTTCACTTAGCATAACCTCTTCCAGTCCCATCCTCGTTGATGTAAAAGTTGGGTATTCATCCTTTCTGGTGGCTGAGTAATGTTCCATTGTATATATGGACCACATCTTCTTTATCCATTCATCTGCTGAGGGGCATCTCAGCTGTTTGCACAGTTTGGCTATTGCGGACATTGCTGCTATGAACGTTGGAGTGCATGTGCCCCATCATTTCACTACATCTGTATCTTTGGGGTAAATACTCACTAGTGCAATCACTGGGTCATAGGGTAGCTCTATTTTTAACATCTTGAGGAACCTCCATACTGTTTTCCAGAGTGGTTGCACCAGCTTGCATTCTCACCAACGGTGTAGGAGTGTTCCCCTTTCTCCGCATCCCTGCCAACATCTGTCGTTTCCTGACTTGTTAATTTGAGCCATTCTGACTGATGTGAGGTGCTATCTCATTGTGG